AAATAAATAAATAAAATCTTTAAAAAGAGAGAGAGACCATTAAAGATACAGGGATCATGCCATCAGTTATGATGCAGTAAACCATCTGGTGTGTAACAGGTACTCCCAGTCAGAAGACCTGAGTTCTTATCCTGACTGCTACACCATGCAATCTTTCTGAGCTTGGGTTTTCTTAGCTGGAAAATTAGAGGGTTGGTGCAGATAATGTAACAGTAATACCATAGGGCTTCTCCGTTTAGAACGCTCCTTCCAGGGGTGCCTGGCTGGACCAGTCCGCAGAGCACACAACTCTTGATCTCTGGATTGTAAGTTCAAGCCCCAAGCTGGATGTAGAGATGACTTAAAAATAATAATAATAAAATAAATCTTTAAAAAAAAAAAGGAAGAAAGAAGGCTCTTTCAAATGCATTTTCTCACTTGAGCCTGCCCTATCTTTGTTCTATCAATGAGGAAATATCTCAGAGGCAAGGGACTTGCCCAAGATTACACAGCTAGAAATTGGAAAGTTCTGTGACTCTATAAATGTTTAATAGAGGAAGGAAATGAAAGAGCAGTCAGCCTCCTAACCTTCTTTGCCCACATTTGGAATTGAGAAGGGTGACCACCAGCAGAAGAGGCCACCTGGAATGGTCCAATTTTCCTCCTGACTACAGGTTGATCTTTGGCCTCTTTGCCTTCTCTTGGAAAGGGTTTCAGTCTGTATTTGCCAGGACTCCTGAGGTAACCTGCTCAAGGAGTTTCCCTAGAGAAATAAATCACACTGTGTAAGAGAGGAGCATGGTGGGATGGGGGCCTGCCAGTCTCAGAATCCTGTTTGATTCTAATGCTTTTGGGGACTCAAGAGCAGGCAGCCAAGAAAGGATGGTAACAACATGGCCTTTGGGGTCTTCCTGTCAGCAGCCTCCTGGGCCATTTCAGGGGCTTGGACTGGTGTCCTTCCCGGGGCTCAAGAAATGGAATTTGCTCAGGCAGAATAGTCACCTGCATGATTGTCATATTCCCGCTATTGTGGAGAGACTGTATGCCTCATGCCTCTCTGTAAACTTCACCTTAAACCATCTGCAGCCCTGTACTGAGCTGACAAGGACCTGGGGTTAATGTAGGCCTGGGATGAAGAAGTCTTGGTTAAAAAAATATTGGGTAGTTGTTTACACTTGCTGTTTGAGGTTTGAGCTCATTCCAGGTGCTCGTTCAATGCTAAGACTTTTTTTGTTTGTTTTATTTGCAAAGTTCTCTGCTTGGTGCTAAGTGCATATATGGCAGGATCTGTAAGACATGATCCTTCACCTCAAGCAGCTTATAATATAGCGAAGGAGACAAAATTACAGAAAAAATAATACTGTGGTTAAAGAAAAAATTCAGCACACTGTTAGATACCAAGAACTGAAGGATAGACATGAAAGATCCAGTCCCTTCCCTCCGTGGGTTCATAGTCTGGTGAGCTGGAGTGGAGTGCTGGGGATGGAGCACTGAACTCTGAACTCCCAGCAGTCTAGTGAGACTTAAAAATAATGGTAGAACACAGTGAGGGAAAGCTTCAGGGAGGAAGACAGAGGCAGCATTTGAATTGCACTTTGGAGGAAGGGAACAGACTTGGAGAAGGACATCCTGGGGAAGACATGGAGGCTGGAAGGTGTGAGGTTTGGGGGAGAGGATTGGGTGTAGCAAGATTTGGCAGCTGTGGAGGTGGTAATTTGAGTATAGGGAGGATTAAGGCCGGAAAGTAGGATGGGGCCAGATTGTGGAAATCCTTTCCTGCCAGACCAGGATATTCACTTTATTCTGTAGTTGGTGAAAAGACCATTGAAAATTCTGATAGCAGGAATAAGATAACGGTACTCTTCTTAAAAGAGAACAGCATGAAGCGTTAATGAGAGGGAAGAGAGAGAGAGTCAGAAACCAATTGGGAGACCATTCACTGCAGTGAGTAGGTCAGGAGCTCTGAGCGCCTGAGATAAGGCATTCCCCAGATGAGGATAAGGTCATTGGAGAGGCAGCACCACGCCTTGTGTGAGAGAGGTATGCTGAGGAGAAACAGGGACACAGAATCCAAGCCTGTGTCCCCGGGGAGAAAGCAAGTTTGAGGCTGGCGGGTGGGAAGAGATGGGCAGAGTGCAAGGTGCCAGTGGCTGTTCCAAAGGAGCTGTCAGCGTGGAGCTCAGGAGAGAGCCCCATGTTCCAGCTGCAAGTCTGGTCTTGTCAGTTTGAAGGTGCTCCCTGGAGTCAGGCCTGGCTCGGGTCACTGTGGGAGAGTGTCGAACGCACAGAGGAGGTTGCTGCAGGCACCACCACAGGCCACATCTGCCCTTAGCAAACGGGCAGAGACTGGGGAAGCAACAGAGTGAGACGGAGCAACAACAGGAAGAGGCGATCCCAGGAAAGAGAGCAGCCAGGTGGCCATGGAGTGGAGTGTCGGGGAGGTGGTGAGCAACACGATCAGGCCTCACGGGAAAAGGGCAAATCAAGAAGGATCAAGAGCATGGGTAGAAGATTGGTCTAGGAGAAGTGCAAGGACAGACAGAGGGAAAGGTTGGTGAGAGGAAACTCAGAGCAACGTTGAAGGGTTGAGGGTCCTCGCAGTGAAAAGGCTATGCTGCAGGACGTGGGGCCAATGGCTGGACACTTGTACTGTGGAGTAGTAGCAGGGCCCTAAGCTGGGAAGTCCTAGGGCAGGGCTAGTGGGGCTGGCCAGTCCCCTTCTGGGAGTTTCTGTCCAGCAACTGGCAGCCCCCTGGCATGGCCTCTGCCTGAGGCTTGCAACAATGGTGGAAAGTAGGTGAGCCGATGAGAACATCCTCAGTTTCCCCAGCACACACAGCGAGGTTTATCCTGGATGATCTTGCAGCTCAGGCTGCTTGAGGGTCCTGGGGAAGTCAGGAAGGCCACACTGGAAAGGCCAGCGGGGGAGGGATTTTGCTTTCAGAGTGTCAGAGCGAGAGATGGTGAGGTACTGGCGAGGTCCAGGGTGGGGCTGTCCATGCAGGTCAGTCAGCCTTCCTGAGCCCTACTGTGCACTCAGCCCTTCCGTTCCCCAGATCTTATTCACGCCTCCGAGCAGCCCTGTGAGGACAGAGATCACGCCTTCCCCGGCGGATTCGCTAACGTGGCTCATCAGCAAAGGAGCCGCACTGTCCGGGCCTGCTCCCGGGCTGCTGCCCCACGCTGGCCTCCCTTTCCCGACTCGCTCTGAGCACTACAGGTACACAGAGAGAGCCTGGAAATAAAACGAACAGTAACAGAGAACACTTAATATTTGCGGAGTGTTGTGCTGAGTCCTTTATATGCATTTGCTCATCTACTCTTTCAGCTCCCTCGAGGGAGATACAGTTTTACATGAAGAAGCTGAATTGACTTGTCCAAGAGGACCTTGCTAGCAAGCGGCAGAGCCAGCCCCGACCCCAGCCGGCCTCGCCCTCCAGTCTGGCTTTGAGGAGGGCCCACCGCTGGCGGCTTGGGCCATACAAGTGCTCTCACCTCTCCCACTGCAGCTCTCGTTTCTTCCACCAGGTTCCTGTCTCTCTAGATGTCTGCCAGCTTTACTGCGAGGGCAGAGGCAGGGTCTGAACCCAACCTCGTCGGACTCCAGAATCGTCACGTTAGGCCGTTCTGTGTCATACTCATTTGCGACATGTGCGAGGCAGTCACATCCCACAGGTCTGGTGGAGGCGGTGTCCAGGCCAGGAGGGAGACCTACTTGGCAGCAGCCAGAAATCTTGATTTGCCAACTCAAGCAGGAGCCTCTGTGTGGCCCAGAGTACATCCATTCCCCTTTGGGCTCCCTTTCTGCAATGTAAGGAAATTCGAGTGGCCGACTCCATTAACTACCCTGAAAAGTTTCCACATCTTCCCTGAGAAATACTAGAGCGGGTCCATCCCACCTCCTGGCTGATGCTCCTGTGTATCTGTAGCAGTTGAATGGTTGGTCGTGTTGTCCTTAGGGTTCGTTAGCTCAGCCTGGACCACTGAGGCTTCCAGAGAAACTGAAATAAACAAGTTCTTGAAATGCCCTCCAAACCCAGCAAACCGGCCCCTCCCTCTGTCCCATCTTCATCAGCATCTCTTCATCTTTTGTTCTCTTCGTTTGCCTAGCATGGACCTAGCATCTGGGACAGTCTGAAATCTCATGGTTCCGGCTGGGTCCAAAGCCTGCTGAGTGCTGACACTTTACCTTCCTAAGCCCTGGAGCTCCCTGGCCCCACCTGCTCAGGTCCCCTCCCCGGCCAACCAGTTCATCAGCCTGTGTCATAATATCAGCAGCTACTCATCTTGAACTTTCATTCTTGTCAGTTTCTGTGCCAGGTGCTTACACGTTATCTCATTTCATCCTCATACACCCTATTAGCCATGGATCCCTTAGGAAACTGAGGTTCAGACAGATTGTAGATTTTTTATCGGCCAGGGCCATAGTGCTAGGACGTGACTGAGCTGAGATTTGAACCCAGGTCTTTCTGAATTTAACTTCTCTTCTCTATTTGGAATGACTGTGCTGGAAGGGGTTCCCCCGTGCCCGATGCCAGACTCAGGCAGCCCGGGCTAGCATAGTTCAGAACAAGGTTCTGGGAGCTGGGCATCCAGGCATTAGGTGCTGCCTCCCAGCTTATGCAGCCATGGGCCACTGGATCACACACACGGCTCTTTTTTATAATGGGGATGGTGGTGGCGAGACCGACCTCGAAGGCCATTGTTCAGATTAAGTGAACTAGTACACGCAGAACTCCGGGTCCGGGCCTCCCTAGCACGCGGTGAGCGCTCGGCAGGCACTCCTGGGCTTGGCTGCGGGAGTGCTCCACCTCTTCCGTGCAAGGCGGGCTTGACCGACAGCTCCTTTCTGAGGGAGGCCACCTCAGACAGCAGCGGCTCAGGGCACAGTGGCCCACTCAAGTCCCAGGGTTCTGCTCCCAGCAAGCCCTGCCCCTGGCCCCTCGTGTGAGGCGCAGGTATGTTGCTTTAGAGGGTGTCGTGACACCCAGCACGGTGCGTTGAGCCCAGCAGGCTCCTGGCATGTTTGAAAGAAACTGGGGACCAGCCGGGGGCACTGCTGTCCTTCCTCAGCACAGTGTCCTGGGTCCCTGCAGTAGTCCAGGTGGCTGGCTTCCCAGGGCACTGTACCCCAGGCATGACCGGGGGTTCCAGAACTGGTTGCATGCCTGGACTAAATGGGCACAGGGAACTTTGGCCAGAGATTTGGGCTCTTCCTGATTGAGTAGCAGGACCCACCGAGTTGGGTTTGAGTCACTGGGACCCTGTCTGAGGGTGACAGCTGATGTCCTACTTAGACTCTGAACGCTGAAGTCAGATGTTTGACATGGCCAGCCACTTGAAACGTGTGAAGACTAGCAAGTAGCAGAGGCTGTCTTTATCCTGGGTCTCCTACCATGTCTGGCCCTCTGGGGCAAATTCATTGCCTCCATTCCCCTTCACAGCTAAGTAAAAGCCTCCAGGAGGCCTTTCCCACCAATCCCGGCTGAAACAGATGGTCCTGCTAAGTGGGGTCCCCTTTGAGACTTTGCCCATCTCAACAGAGTCTGTTAAACACACTACTTTGGGGGGCACCTCGGTGGCTCAGTTGGTTAAGCGTCTGCCTTCAGCTCACGTCATGATCCCAGGGTCCTGGGATCGAGCCCCACGTCGGGCTCCCTGCTCAGCGGGGAGCCTGCTTCTCCCTCCCTCTCTCTCTACCCCTCCCCCTGCCTCATGTGCTCTCTCTCATGCTCTCTTTCTCAAATAAATAAATCTTTTTAAAAATAAATAAATAAGCACACTGCTTTGGGATTTTTAAAACCTGAAGGGTTTATGGTATGTTTTTATGCAGAGTTTTAAGTTAACCTATACCCAGGAGTGCCTGGCTGGCTCAGTCCATAGAGCGTGCAACTCTTGATCATGGGGTTGTGAGTTTGAGCCCCACGTTGGGTGTAGAGATTACTTAAAAAGAAAATCTTTAGGGGCGCCTGGGTGGCTCAGTCAGTGAATCGGCTGCCTTCGGCTCAGGTCATGATCCCACGGTCCTGGGATCGAGCCCCGCATCGGGCTCCCTGCTCCGCGGGGAGCCTGCTTCTCCCTCTCCCTCTGCCTGCCTCTCTGTGTACTTGTGCTCTCTATCTCTCTGTCAAATAAATAAATAAAATCTTTAAAAAAAAAAAAAAAAGGTTTAAAATAACCCGTACCCTGACAACTCCTGGGATCTGTGGACCCTGCAGGCAACTGTCCCACTAGCGCCCACCGCCCCCTCCCAGCCCTAGCCCAGGCCCAAGTCAGGGAGGGAGCTAGGGGCTTTGCTGGGAAAGGCAGCAGGTGGGATGCGGGGTGCGGGTGGGGTCCTGGCCTCTCCCAGGACCAGGCAGCCCCTCCGCTATGGCACGTGGCCTTGCTGGAGCGGGAGCCCTGAATGCTTTGCTTGCCTCGCACAGCCCTGATCGAGTCCCTCAACCAGAAACCACAGTCTGCCGGTGACCCTCCCCAACCCACAGACACGACCCACAGGAAAGCAGGTGGGGCCGACGCCCCCTCGGCCAACGGAGAAGCTGGAGGAGGAGAGAGCACCAAAGGCTACACTACAGAGCAAGTAGCAGCAGTGAGAAGGTAGAGGGGCTGGAGCCTGGTGCTGCTGGGAAGTTTCCAGATCTAGAGCAGGCTTCCTGCAGCCTGTCCTCCACCTCACATCTGCCTGTGGTCTGGGTGGGCCCTGGGAGGGTCCCGAGGATGGACGAGCTCCAGCTGGGCCGGCTCACCAGGCCCCGGAATACACTGTGGGAATCAGGGCTCTGCTGTCCCCTCCCGCCACGACAACCCACGGCGGGGGCTGGAAGTGCTGACTCCCCCGCGGCTGGCTTCCTCTCCTGCCGGCCGGCCAACGAGCCCCGGCTCTTTACACGGCTCTGTTTATCAAGATGGGGCTCGGGCTCCCCTTCCAGCTTCCCCCCCGCCCCCAACAAAGACCCTTTCAGACCAGAGCCTGTGTGGCACAGAATGGAGACAGGAGACGGTTGTCCCTCCAGGGCTTGGGCAGGCCCTGCACAGACACTGACAGTCCTGAGGTGGCCTCCGGTGAGGGTGCTGTTAGCAAAGGGAGATGGTTCCTGGCCTGAAACATAGCAGCTGCCCCCTCAGAAATCCCAGATATCTTCTGGGTGTTTTCCCCTGGGCCCTACCCGACTCCCCATCCCAGGTGGAGCTTACTGAGGCTCCCTTGCCCCCGAGGTCTGACAGTTGACTGGAGTTGCTGTCAGCCACGCCCTGCTGGTCCCCCTGAGCCTGCTCAGAGCTGTGTGCCCACACTGCTTGTTCCTCGCCGCCCTCACCTCGCGGCCCTGGGCCCGCTCTACCCCTTCCCCCAGGGTCAAGCAGTGTAAAGATTACTATGAGATCCTGGGGGTGAGCAGAGGGGCCTCCGATGAGGACCTGAAGAAGGCCTACCGCAAGCTGGCCCTCAAGTTCCACCCAGACAAGAACCACGCACCTGGTGCCACTGAAGCTTTCAAAGGTAAGCGAGCCTTGGTTCCCTGCTGTTTGGTGTTTTTATCTCCTGCCCTTGAGAAGGAATAAGAGGCCAAGACAACTTTTCCGGGAAGTGGCCTTGGACCCAAGCCCCCTGGGCTCAGGAGCTGCTTCTTGGAAAGAAGGTCCCAGTAGCCACCTGTAGCCTAGAGAGTCTGTCAGAGCTCCGATGGCACCAACCCTGCCTCTCCTTCCTCCACGTTCCCCAGGAATGACAGGAGGGGAGCTGAGGCAAGAGAGGACCAGTGGCTTCACGGTGGTGTAGCGATTGAGGGGCAGAAGGAGGCCTCCTGGTTCACCCATATGCACATCCCCATCTTGGGATCTTGGCAACAGGTTCCCTGTGCTGAGGGGCAGAGTAGCCTCAGGTCCGTGGCCTGGTGGCCTCCTGGTCTCCAGCAGCCACCGCCAGCCCTGCACTACACACACACACTCACATGAGGCGGTGACCACCGCCAAGAAGGGAGCCTTCGGCGGAGCAGATGGCAGAGCAGACCCCTGAGACCTGCTGTGCTGTTTCCCGGGCCCAGCCTCGGTACTCCATTCCAGGCTGCTTAGGGTTGGTCCTGCTTGGGTGGGGGTAGTCTGAAGGCATCATCCCCGTCAGCCAGCCCCAGGGCGAGAAGGTGAATAGGAGTGGGTAGGCAAGGTAGCCGTGGTTACTGTTACTCCAGCCCGGACTCCTGCCTGCAGCCTGCACGACAGACGCGAAGAGGCCAGACCTAGGCTGGACGGCAGGAATGGCAGGAATTACGAATGCCTTCGTGGCAATGGCGAGTGGAGAGGATTCTCCTTATTCTCAAGGTTTACAGGTTGCAGATGCAGCTTTGACCCGCTCCTTTGAGAGAGTGAACCTCTGGAGAAGGAGCAAGAGACTGAGGAGGGCCTGGAGCTGGGTCCTTTGAGGCACAGGTTTCCTGCCTAGGGAGCCCTAATGGGGGGGCCTTGGGGCCTGGCCGGGGAACAGACACTGGGACCTGGACCCCCGGGAGGAGAGGGCTCGCCAAGCCCCACTACCAGCAGTGGAGAAGTTTTGACTACACCTGGTGATTCGGCCCTTCCCGGCAGTTGCTGTAGGAATAAATAAGATAAGGCCCGTAAAGGGCCTGGGGCATAGAAAAGCCTGCCCAGACTGCCTAGATCCACTTAGAATTATTCCTGCCTGCCCCCCTCCCTACACGTGCCCAACAGCCAAACTTCTGCTGGCCCCAGGGACTCCTACTTCCTAAAGCACCACTTGAGTACCTAAAGGAAGGGAGCTCTTGGCTGCCACCGTGGCAGCCTCCCCCTGCACACGCCCCATGTCTTCGAGCCTGACTTACACCTCGCCCCATGTCTTCGAGCCTGACTTACACCTCCTTTCTAGCCATTGGCACAGCATATGCGGTACTTAGTAACCCAGAGAAGAGGAAGCAGTATGACCAGTTCGGTGATGACAAGAGCCAGGCAGCCCGGCACGGCCATGGGCATGGGGACTTCCACCGTGGCTTTGAGGCGGACATCTCCCCCGAGGACCTCTTCAACATGTTCTTTGGTGGTGGCTTCCCGTCTAGTAAGTACCCCGCCCTCCCCGCAGGCCTCCC